AAATAAATTGCAAGATAATATTTTAAAAAACCAAGTAATGTTCCAACAGAATGGAAACATATTAGAAAAATATAGCTACAAAGAAGATAAAACCATTCTCTTATTTTTAAATAATCTAGAAAATTAAAAAAATGATCAAAGCTTTGTAAAAGAAGCATAAATTTAAAACAGAACAACTTTGAAGAGAAGTAACTATAAAATAATAGAATCTGAAAAGAGTCAATAAGAATTAGTAATGAGACAGATAAATGTAAAAGAAAGAATTTAGAAATAGAGTTTAAAATAGAAGAAACACAAGAATAAGTACTGGCACACACCAAAAAATTTAGTACAGGAAATAATATGTAATGTAGAGAAATTCAGATTTAACAAACATCAGTAAGAACAACAGCAAACAAAGTAAAAATATTGAAAAATATAGAAAACAGATTATAAATATATTGATTATATCAATAAATACAAGTTGATTAACTCATTTGTTGAAAACAGAATTATAGGCTGACTGCAAAATAATGTTCAATATTATTACTGTAACGAAAGACAAACATAAATTAACAACAAAAGGATGTAGATATACATCAAAGTGAATAACGTCTGTAAGCTATTTAAAATATTTTAAATATATAAAATGTTGTGATAATAATACTGAAACAAAGGAACAACAAAAAATGGGCAGACAATAAAACATTGTACCTAACTGGAAGCTGCTGGAGCACTAACCTACTATCGTAAAAATCAATCATTACGAAAGAGTGGGGAAGGAATGTGGTGTAGCTCAGTGATAGCATACCTGCCTAGGACGCAAAAGGGCCTGGACTGGATCTTCACCAGAAAGGGCAGAAAATTTAAAAAAATGAAGAAAAAAATCTCAAACTTCATAGTATAACCCTGTATTTCAGATCAGTATGATAGTCTTAGTAGACACATTTAAACTTTCTAGGTAATTTATACTAAAGGAACAATAGAATTTAAAAAACAATAGGTTTGTGATTTCTAATGAAATAAAATATTCAGACTACAGTCATTAATGTTTTTAGGGGAAAGTTAATGGTGAACATTCAAATGAAGAGATCAGACTTCTACCATTGGCCAATTTTATTATCTTGAGAGTGAGGTGCTTAGATAACTTATGTTTTCTCCTGCCATGCAATATGAATAACATACAGCCACCTAGGAAGTGTTTACACACATATGCATGCACACACACACATGCACATACACAGAACTCAAATCTAATGAAGTCTTTAGATCGAACTTGCAGTCTATTGTCAATAAAGGGGCTAGAGGAACAACTTAAATGATAAAATCAGGAGGAAGTCAGCCAAACCCAGAACAGAGTTTTCTAAGAAAACATAACCCAGAGTCTCTGAGCAGCCATTGAAGGGGAAGGAACTGCGGGTGTGTGTGTGTGTGTGTGTGTGCTTGTGTGTGAGTGCACGCGTGGGTCTGTGGACAAGGAGGTGGAGGCAGACGAGTTAAGAGTCCCAACTCCTTGGACTCCATTTTCTGTTCTTTTCTTTCTCCCCCACACCTATCTGGTGGTATTGGGTGTTTATATTTGCAATTCTTTTCATTCATTTCCAAATTTTCAAAAGTTTTAGGGTTGGGGTAGTGGGAATAGTAGGAAAGGAGAAAGGAGAGTAGTAGCAGAAGAGCAGGAGGAGGACATGGAGATGAAGAAGAGGATTAACCTGGAGTTAAGGAACAGAGCCTCAGAGGAGGTGACAGAATTAGTCCTTGATAATTGCCTGTGTGTCAATGGGGAAATTGAGGGACTGAATGACACTTTCAAAGAACTAGAATTTCTGAGTATGGCTAACTTGGCATTAAGTTCACTGGCTCAGCTTCCCAGCCTCAATAAACTTCAGAAATTGGAACTTAGTGACGATGCAATTTCTGGAGGATTGGAAGTGTTAGTGGAAAAGTGTACAAACCTTACCTACCTCAATCTGAGTGGAAACAGAATCAAAGATCTGAGTACAGTAGAAGCTCTGCAAAATCTTAAAAATCTAAAAAGTCTGGATATTTTTAACTGTGAGATCACAAACCTGGAAGATTACCAAGAAAGTATTTTTGAACTGCTGCAGCAAATCACGTACTTAGATGGATACAATCAGGAAGATAACGAAGCCCCAGACTCAGAAGAGGAGGATGATGAAGATGGAGATGAAGATGATGAAGATGAGGCTGGTCTCCCTGAAAGGTATGAAGAGGAAGAGGAGGAAGATGAAGCAGGCTCAGAACTGGGAGAGGGAGAAGAAGTGGGCCTCTCATACTTAATAAAAGAAGAAATTCAGGATGAAGAGGATGATGATGACTATGTTGAAGACGGAGAAGAGGAGGAGGAAGAGGAAGAAGAAGGTCTTCAGGGGGAGAAGAGGAAACGAGATGCCGATGACGAGGGAGAGGAGGAAGAGGACTAGATCACTCTAAGGGCGCAATCCCCAGCGTTCCTGGGTGTGCAATCAAGTGGTCACATCTTTGTTCCTTCCTGTATGATAGCTGTTCCCTGCAGAAGATAATGTGCAACTTTTTATAGGAAAAGGGTGGTTTTACTATTTTTGCCTTATCATTCCAATTAAGATTTACTAGTCTGTTAATGATCAGATTGTATGTAGAGAAAAATTTTCATTGCTCCCCACCATTGTGAAATTCTCTAGCAATTTATTTAGAATCTTAATTTTTCTAATTCAAGCACACTGTATTAGTCATTTTTAGCCCATAATTAAACATCACTTTTACACAGATGTAGTTTGGTGCATTTCATTCATAAGGTTTTAAAGTTATTTATAAATTAACTGAAATTAAAGTCAGCTGTAATATGAAATGACAATAGTCTCTTGAATGATAAGTTCACTATTTTTTTAGAAGTGATGCAGAGATCTTTGGTTTGAAGGCAGTGACTTACTGGCTAAGGGTATTGGGATCCTTGTTACACGAGTTAAGCTGGAAAGCAGATGCAGGATAATACAGGTTCTATTCAGCAGCGTATTTCATGGATTTTTTTAGGGGGTGCTATTCAGTGATTAACGTAGTTCATGGATTTTGTGGTGACTGATAAGATGTTACTTTTGAAGGAAAAATTGCTTATACTAAGTCCAAGGCATGGAGTGAGCCCTTTCCTGAGATACCAGCGGTTGTTCGTTTTGTTTTAGGTTCCTGTTCTTTCTCCTCTTAGCAACTTCTGTGCTCTCCTTCCTTTTTTGTTTCACTCATCTTTCTGTCCCAGCAGAAGGTTGGGCACCTTGTGGATTCCCAGAAAACCTCTAGTCTCATAAGTCAGTCACCTTTTCAGACCTGTCCAGGTTTTAAATAAGTGAGGAAGAAATTGAGCATTTTTTGAGATCTGAATATTGTTGATACAGTTTTATTCAACAGATTCTACTTACTGTAAATGTTTCTGGGTTGATGACATGGGAGACCACTATTAGGATGAAGAAAGAAGAGAAACAAGGGAGGCTTTGGGAAGTAGTATTAGTGTTTCTCAAAAACCTAGGGCTGGGGATTTAGCTCAGTGGTTTTGTCACCTGCTGCGCAGGCACAAGGACCCGAGTTCGATCCCTGGTACCAAAAAAAAAAAAAATCTGAACCATTAGCTGTTGATAATTAAGTTTAAATTGGCTTCCCAAAGGATTTGGATACCAACCCTGTGAAGCATTTATAGTTTTTCTCAGTAGAACTTTAATTATTCTTCCTGCAGTATTAACACTTTACCAGATATAACATTTTTGGAGTATGGTAGGTAGTTGAAAAAATTTTTGAAACTAAATCAATATTAAGGGTTATTTTCAAGCTGATGTTCATTAAAAATAGAACAATATTTGAGATAAGTATGAGTGTGTGTTTGTATGGCTACTAAACAGACCCTGACGGGGGATAAGCCCATCTCCCTTTTTGTTAAGGAGGCGCCATGTCCAAGGCATTGCATTTTTAATCTTGGCCATCTGAAATTGTTTTCTCTTACTTTTGAATATTTGTAAGTTTTTAAAAAGTGTCAGCAAATTGAAGTTATGCTTCTCTACTGGGACACATTCAAACCAGTGTGATATTGCTGCTGCTTTTTTATTTTAAAATGGAGGACTTCGCATTTTAAAGTAAAAATTATGAAGTTATTTGTGGAGAAACAAAAAGTTACACAACTGGCTGGGGATAAATTTATCAGGGCCCGGAACCTCCTAACATTTTTCCCCTAATTTAACAATTGGAATGCCCTGTTTAGTCCCTAAGGTTTCTCACTGCATACTATGCCATCTTAGAAGATACTTATTTTTAAAATTAAATCTATATATTAACTTTCTTATCAATCATTTTATTCTGCAATCATAATTAGAGTTCTTTGGTTTGAAAACAACACTTAGAGCCTCCAGATAACTTTTAAGACTTATGTAGCTTTGTGGGTGGTATTTTCATGCAAATAAGTAAGGGTGGGTTTTATATTTTGTAGAAGTTTCAGGTACTATTTTAATGCTGTTTGTATGGCAGTATGTATATAATGTGTTAAATTCCTCAAGAACCTCTCCTTTAAAACTTTGAAGTTAATACTTTTGTGCAATTGTGTTTTGAATAAAGCCATGACAGTGTTAAAAAATTTTTTTAAATGCAGTATTCCTGATTATTCTTTTATTGTTTCTGATTATTCCCAGTTTTTTCTGTGACTGCTGTAACTTAAAGTTTTTGAAACTGAATTACTTCAAATAAATTGAAGATTTGTTATAAACAAAAAAAAAGAAAGAAAACATAATCCAGTCTTTCCAATGCCATTTTTAAAAGGTGAGTATGGATGCCCTGGTTTAGTGATAGTTTTAAAAAGATTCAAGGGCATATTACCCATATTTTCCATCTGGCTGGGACAATAATGGTTTACTTCTGCTTTTCCAATACTATATGGTGATCATTAATTCTCCTTTTACTCTTGGAAGTATTTAGCATAGAGTTATAGATTATATGACCACTTACTTGGGAGACATACAAGAAAATACATTGAGAAGATTCTGTTTCAATACTAATCCACTCTACCCAAAACCACAACAACAAAAGCTACCAAGAGTTTATTTATATGGACACAGACACTCTTTTTTGATAACATGGGGGAATTTGAATATGAATTGAGTTAGGTGATGCTATGAAATTTCTGTTAGGGGATTCTGTGTGACAATGCAGACTATCTTTCAAAAACATAGGTGCAAAAGAGTTGAGAAAGAGAAACCAAAAAATAAGTGATAATAAGATAACAATTACAAAATCTTGAAAGACATATGAAGTTTCTTTGTACTATCTTATATATTTTCTGTGGGTAATCATAAAATTATCCTGAAAGAAAATATCAGAGAGCAGAATGTGAGGAAAGGAAGGGAAATGGTGACTATAAAATTCCTCTCCTGAGGAATTTTGCTGCATATGCTGTCATAGCTAATTGGGCAGGTAAGGTCAAGAAATATGGATTTTTATCTTAACATCTGGTACAGAAAGGTACTCATGTGATGAGGGGCATTAGGTTAGTGAGACAGGATTCAAAGAAAAGCGTAGCCTGATCTCCACATCCTGATCCCTCTGTGGAAGCAGAAAAGTCAGTAATGCTATTCTGTCTTTTCCCATTTTCTCTTCTGTCTGACTTATACAGCTGAGTTTGTGTAAGTGAGGAGTTTCCATTATGTGTTTTATTTACCAATTCTCATAGTTCAGACCAGAATTTTAATATGTATTCAAATAACACTAAATGTCAAATATCAAAATCTGAATAGGATAACTTTTCTTTTCATGAAAGTGTGATAGATCTCCAAATAGAAATAAGGAGCTCAATCACCATCAAGCTTTATCATAACAGCATCTACAGAAATAGAGAAAAGAGGAAGATGCAAGTGGTTTTCAGAACTGAATCAATCTTTCATGAGAATGCTTTCTCTGCCTACTGTTCTAAAAAAAAAAAAGGAACAAGAAGAAGAAATGAAAGTTCTTATGTAAAGATTGATATTTCATGGGCTGCAAGAAATTGCATAGTAGCTTCAGATCATCCTTGGAATACGGTCTGTGGGATCCGAGCTCTGTGTCCCTTTCAACTGCTTTGCAGGAAAAGGGAGACTGAACAGGGCTGGTGGCAGTCCCAGTGCTGTGTTACTGTAACCAAGATTTCAAGTAAGCTGTGCGGCCAGCGGGACCCCAGTACTTGTCAGCAATTGGTTCTGGGAGGTGTGAGAAGCACCGAAAACAGCTAGTACCAAACAAATTGTCCTGGCAACTAGTATGGACAGGTTCTAGCTTGATGCCAGGTACCAAACAAACAGCGAGTGCAGGGACAAAAACTTCACATGGAAATGTGTTCAATACCAAATGTGATGAGTTTCAAAGCAGTTGAGCACCAAGGCACAACTGTAGAGTTGAGACAGAAGTGCTCAGGATGTCAAAGTTTTTCTAGATTTAAGCCAGATTATTGCCTGTTAGTTACTAACACACATTTATTCTGACACCTCACAGTATTATTCAAGAGATGACAGATAGGTCAAGGGGCTCTTCCTAAAAAGGTTCTGGAGAAAAGGTGGGGAAACTATCAGCAACACACAAACAAATCATACTTTGGAGTATTTTTTTCCCCTCTAGTGAATAATACTCTTTAAGTGGTTATATTTTGAAAGGTGGTTGAAATCTAGGAATACTTCTTTACTGTGGCCCATATACTACCAGAGATCAGAATTCAAATTTAAGCTCTCATAAATGACATTTAATGTATTACGAGAAGGTAAAGTATAATGAAAAGGGTACTTTTTGCCATCAAGAATGTGAAGGTGTATGTGTATGTCCCTAGAATGGTCACTTACTGACTTGTAGGGCTCAAAGCAACCATAGAAATCAAGAGACTTAAAAATCAGAGTTAACTAAGATGGCAAATGGGAAAATGATAGTGGATGTAAAGTGCTGTGTGAATGTTTGATATGTTTATTACAAAAAATCATTTAGTGATAGCACCTTTGAGATTAGTAATATTTAATTTAGGGTATATTTTTGTGTTTGCAAACTGTTTCTCCAATAAAACTGAGGGCAGTTTTCTACTTATTTAATGTTTGTTAATAAACTGTGATCTATTAAAAGACATGCAGTGACACAAAACACTAACATAAGACATATACAAATCAAAATATAATTTAGGGAAAGATAATTTGAAGATCAATTTTTCAAACCTTGATGTGGTGGAAATGATTATTTAGACAGCAGATTATCTGTTCAAAAATAACTTGGAGTGATAATACACAGCCAATATGATACTAACTGAAGTTTTGCATTCAAAATAAGAAGGAAATGCTATTCCATGCTTGTTTGGTCAGACTTTCCTTAGCAAATGGCAATCATTTGCCTGTCTTTGTAATGGCCAGCAGCAAAGGAATTTGTAGAATATCAAGTAAGTAAAATAGAAATAAGAAAGTTTCACTTCCAATGGAAACAAAGAATAAAAACAATTCAATTTACAAAGCTTGGACAAATTGAAATGGCTCTTGACAAAAATTTGCAGCCTATAAAGGAGAAAGAAAAATTGTTTAGAATGTAATAACGGGATGCAATTAAGCAAAAGAAAATGTAAGCTGAATATCAGAAACAATTTCCTAACAATCTATTAGACTGTACCTTAGTTTCCTAAGGGAAGAAATGGAAGCCTCACTGCTTAAGTCATTTCAAGCTAGACTAATTCCCAGAAGGTGTGGCAACTGAGAAGGAATGCAAATGTAGCATCCTGACAGTCAGTCTAAGTTAATTTT